TGACTTTGATGTGTGTGGGGGGGGGGGGTGGAGGAGACTAACACATCCAACCTTACAAAACCAATTCTTTATGTGCCTTATCTCTACAAATCTCCAACCCTCTCCATTATTAAAATGTGAGAAGAGAAAATGATGAATTGTGTGAAAACCATTTGGAAGCCTCATTTCTCCCCAGATTCCCTAATGGAATTGATCTCGGGCTTGGCTGAGTAGGGTTGGGGAGCAAAAACATCAAGTGGAGGGCAAGTTCAGACAACAGGGATATTACCTGCTTCTTAGAACCTTAAGCTCTGAATCTGCTGTTGAAATTTTCTATGATGCTTTAATAACATTAAGACTTTTCCACTTAGAAGGTTTTCCACCAAGTCCAATATCTGTGCCCAGAGGATGTCCATAATGAAATACTTACCAAGAAACCTCCAGCTGACTTCCCTTCACATCTGATTGGTCAGAATTTTTCAAAATTTTTCAATTTTTCCCCAGCCTCAATCAATTACTCATCCAACCACTGGCCAGGAGGTAGGACTGTCGTAACTTACGTGGACCAATGAAAATTCATCTCCTGAGGCTGGGGAAGTGAATAGGTACGTCCACCACTGACCCACTGCTGGACAGAATTGAGGGGTTCTGTTAGCAAGGCAAGAGGGGGATATGGCTGTGGAGCACACACAAACAAGTGTACATACACATGCATTTTAAACAAGGGCATCTTACACAGAGTAAGTGATGAGTCCAGTGAGCTGTGGAAAACTGCGCCCTGCTAGAATGCAATACCCTGGAGGCATCCAGAACTGGTAGTCAGGTGCTGGCATATGCAAGGGAAGGTTTGAGTTCAAGAACAAGAGCACTTATACAGTCCAAGGGTGGGTGGAGAGCCAGGGAAAATAGCTACTATTAATCTCTCCAACCTTGGTGGGGCAACTGCTCAAACTGGACCTAATCAAAGTTAGAGGAAAAAAAACCTAAGTGACATACTTATTCATTACAAAGGGGAAAAGGAATAACTTTACATTGGAAATGTTTGACAGACCTCATGTGACCCAAGCTATCAACGTGAACGTCACCAGTTGAGACAAATTGCAATAGCAGTGCTTCCTGATTGGCTGCAATGGGGAGAACACAGTATCACTTCTGGATATGCCCTCCAATGATGCAACACCTGACTCTGATCATGAAGACGTGTCAGAAAAATCCCAAATGAGAGATAGTGTACAATAGCCTATGCTTTTCAAAAGGGTCAGGGTCATAAAGTAAAAGAAAGAAGAATTGTCCCATATTAAAGGAACCTAAAGATACATGACGACTAAATGAAACTCAGTCCTTTTCTATGAGACATTTTGGGGACAATTGGCAAAACTTGTAAGGGATCTGAAGATAATAAGGTGGTAGCAATGTGTCAAATGTGTTCATGTTAATTTCCGGACTTGAAGGGCATTGTGGCCATGTAGGAGAATATCCTTATTTGGAGAAAATGCATGTAAATATTAGGAATGATAAGACATGTAAACGATTTATTCACAAATGTTTCTGAAAAAAATGTCCTCTACTGCCCTGGCCAGTTTGGTTCAGCGGTTAGAGCGTGGGCCTGCAGTCCAGAGAAACCTGGGTTCATTTCCCGCTAAGGGCATGTACCTCGATTGCAGTTTGTCCCCAGCCCTGGTTGGGTTGTACGGGTGGCAGCCACTCGATGTGTCCCTTTCACATTGATGTCTCTCTCTCTCTCTCTCCCTCCCACTCTGTCTGAACAAAAAATGTCCTCGGGTGAGGATAAAAAAAAAAAAAAAAATGTCCTCTACTAGCAAATTTTCTTTAAGATTTAAATTATTTCAATTTTTAAAAATGGTGACATTCTGGTGTCATGAAGACATTCATATGTATTTCAAAAAGAATAACCAGCTACTGAGAACTTAGTGTGCCACACTCTGTTCTGAGTACTTTATGTGTATGAACGCGTTTATCTTCACAATGAGGTATCGCCTATAATTACCTTCATTTCACATATGAGGGAAATGAGGCACAGAAAGGTTCAGCAACTTGCCTGAGGTCAGCTGGTAAGTGGCTAGCTGAGATTTGAACCCAGGCCGTCTGTTCCAGCTCCCTTGCTCTTAACTACATACTCTCCTTTGATGATCTTGTCCAGTCCAGTGACCTTAAGCATCATTGATAGCCCAAGGATTCCTATATGTATTTCTTCTAACTTCTCTCCCTTGAATACTATGTCTAACTGCCTTCTCAGTAGCTCTACTTGAACACCCAATAACGTTTCAAAAACCGACTTTCCTCTCATCCTCCCAAAACCTGTTCTACTCCAAGACTTCCCCACTTCAGTTGATGGGAACTCCATTAATCCAGGTAATTCAGCTAAAAATCTAGGAAGCATCCTGACTCGTCTCCTCTTTCACCCCACATCCTTTTTATCAGAAAATTCTGTTAACTCTTCCTCAAATAAATCCAGAGTCTAATCACTTCTATCTCCACTGCCTAGATTCACCCACCCACCGTGTCTTTCCTGGGTTGCTATAATTAGCCCCTCACTGGTCTCCGGGCTTCTATCTTTGCCTCTCTCATCCATTCTCAATACAGCCAGCAGAGGTTCGTTTTAAAGCAATCAGAGACAGTCCTCTTCTGCGCAAAACCTTGCAACAGCTGCTCATATCACTGAGAATAAAAACCTAAGTCCTGACCTTGATCCCATGGGCCCTTACAACCTCCTCACCTCATCCCCTTTTTCTCGCTCTATGCTTTTTCCATAGGATTTACCATTTTCTAACACACTACATGATTTACTTTTTTCTTTATATTTGTTATGTATTGCCTGTCTTACCCCCACCCCCTGCATTGTAAGTTCTAAAAGGGTAGCAGTTTTTGTCTGTTTTCTTCACTGATATAGCCGAGAACAGTGTTTTGTGCTTAGTGGGTGCTCAATATTTGTTGAATGACTACATCATACAATCTCCAGTGTTGAATAGATGAAAGAAGTAATGGAGAGAAGGGCGAATGGATGGCAGGAGGCAGAAGGGGAAGAAAAGAAGGAGGTGTTTTAAGGTCCATGATCTGCAGAGAAAATTTCCTGGTCCTGCCAGCTCTAACATCTTGTCCCATGACCTGTGGTTAGATGTTTCTAGAAGCCATCATATTTAGAAAAAGCATTCTTTGGGGAAGGCAGCAATAAGTACTGAATAGTAAGGAGGGGTTTGTGAGATAATTCTGGGCTCAGCTCCAGGGCTCATCAATATCTGTCATTCCCCTGACTACTGAAAGATACAATCTCTGATATGGGACATTGTCATACACCATCACCAGGTTCCAGGGAAGGAGGAAGAAGCAGCTCTTTACTTCATCTCCTCTGAAGAAGGGGCCTTAAATCTTTTCTTGTCTCCTCTCTGGTCCCAGGCACTCTCCTCCCCCTGCCCCAACCTTCTTAACGTAGATCTTCCGGTTATCAAAGCATGGGCCCACGTCACCATGGTTCACCTCATCCAACCCACCCACACTAATGCCCTGGCCACCTCTACTAGCGATAATACTCCCAGGACTCCCCCATCTGTGTGATATGTGGGGCAGAACAGGAGCAATGGGGGTCGGAACCCAGAGGCCCCTCACACTGCAGACTAAGACAAGAGGGAGACAAAGTGTGTCTACACACAGGAACATGACCTTTCCCAACTTCTATCCAAGTGAAGTTCACCCAACCCTCTTAAACCAACACCTTTTGTGTTTCTGTCCCTAAAACCAGTTGGTTGGATGCATTGGACTTAGTAGAGTTCAAGGAGAAAGTTGCTTCATTCTCTTTTTTTTGTTGTTGTTGTTGTTGTTGTTGTTCAGATAAAGTGGAAGGGAGAGAGAGAGAGAGAGAAACATCAATGTGAAGGGACACATCGAGTGGCTGCCACCCACACGACCAACCAGGGCCGGGGACAAACTGCAACGGAGGTACGCGCCCTTAGCGGGAACCGAACCCTGGTCTTTCTGGACCGCAGGCCGTCGCTCTAACCGCTGAGCCAAACTGGCCAGGGCAAGTTGCTTTATTCTTCACACTGCCTTTCAAATAAGCTCTACCAAGTCATCCCTCCTAATAGGTAATAATGTACCTATTATTAGGGTAATAGAAATTGCAATCTCTCAATCAGTGGTTTTCTCTCCCCCAGCTGGGACCAGGGTCAGGTCGGGAAGCCTGCATGAGACTGAGTGATAGATGGGCTTCTTGGCCATGTTCCACCTTGTTCTTCCACTCATTCTCTCTCTCACTGCTGCCTCTGGCTTCTCCCAAGTTTGGGAAAGAGAAAGGGGGGATTCCTACTCATTTTCCTCCCCTTCTTCTCCCCTTAGTAACACAGTGCTAATTGGTGGGTGGAGAAGTTCAAATGTAATTTTTTCAAGCTTCACTTTTGCAAATTACTCAGGGATGTCCCCCAGGGAATTTCAGACTACAGTTCCGAACAGCCAGCCAGCCCTCACCCCACACTTGTCTGAGTGTAAGACAGTGAAAATTCCAGGGGATATATGTCAAGCTTGTTGAGGGTACTCTTAAACCCTTCGTCAGCTTGAGGTGGGTTTAAACTCCTCTTCCCTCCCTTAAGCATTTCCACAATCCATGCTCTAAAGAAATCCTCACTCTAATGTCTTACATGAGCCATCACCCAGCCTCTCCTTACACACTTTCAAGGTAGGTGTTGGGCTATCACTGCAAAAGTAGTGGAAGAGCTTGGGATTGCTTCAATTGGCTCAGAAACAAAGACTCTGAGATGGTAAGTGAGTGTGAAAGGTCGCACAGCCAGGAAGAGGCAAACCCAATACTTGATCCCAAGTCTGGCTGACTTGATCACACACTACCACAGCCATGCTCATCTCCCTCCCAAGGTGCTGAGGACAGAGACTGTGGCAAGGGATCATTATTACAATCCTGCCCAGTCACAAAAGCCGGAAACTCCTTCACCAGGCTCCTTCCTCTTGCATCAGCAGCCTTATCTTACTGTGTTCAAAACACTTCCCCAAGAAGCCTTGGCCATGAGAAGCAGACACAGCCTCGCCCACAGGCCCCACTTCAGACTCCGACACGCATCAGAGAGCAAAGAGATCGCCATTCTCAGGGACCACGGGAGGCACCAAGTTATTATGCCTACCCCTTCCCATCTGGCCCACTTGCCTCCCTCCTGGCTACTGGTGCTGCTCCTTGTCCTCTCAGGTGAGTGGGATCTGGGACAGAACAGAATTTACCCCTGGCTGGTCCCAGAGAGGGGGATTAGCTGCTCTGGCATGCCTGGTGGGGCTCAACCCCACCAGATGGAGTAGGAAGAAGGCATTGAGAACTTTCCTGACTCCAGCAGAGCACGGAGCCCAGAGCACAGTGAAGTTAAGCTCCCAGGCTCTGAGCTCATGCCAGATGAGTTCTGGCTTAGACACTTGTGTGCCCATGTCAGACAGCATGGCTCTTCTACAAAGCAGGACCGCTAATGGGACCTTTCTCTAGAAATGTTGGGAGTACTAAACATACAAATGAAGCACGGTCCAGGACCATTGATGTCATTTGCAGGGCCCGGTGCAAAATGAAAATGAAAGTCCTTTGTTCAAGAAGTATTAAGAGTTTTAATGCCCTGGCTGGTTTGGCTCAAGGGTTAGAGCATCAGCCCACAGACCAAAGAGTCCCAGGTTCAAGTCCAGCCATGGGTACATACATCGGTTGCAGTTTGTCCCTGGCCCTAATTGGGGTCTTGTGGGTGGCAACCAATCTATGTGTCTCTCTCACATCGATGTTTCTCTCTCTCCCTCACACTCTGTCTGAAGATAAATGTAAAAATATCCTCCGATGAGGATTTAAAAAATAATAATAATTTTAAGGAAGCAACAGCAGAGCATTAACTCAAGCATGGGGCCCCACGTGACTATTCACATTGAACAGCCATGGAGCCAGCACGGGCCCAGTCCGAGACAAAGTTGGCTCCAATCTCACCACCGATTGCTTTAAGTAACTTCTCTCCGAGCCTCAGGCTTCCTGCTCTGTAAAACAGGGCTAACTACAGGACCCACCTCTAGACTTTGTTAGGAGGTTTCAATGAGATAATACCTATAAGTATAGTTGACCCTTGAACAATGCAGTGGTTAGGGGTTCTGACACCCCATGCAATTAAAATCCATATACAACTTCCGATTCTTCAAAAATTTAACCAGTAATAGTCTACTGTTGACCAGAAACCTTACTTATAAACATTTAACACATATTTGTGTTATATATACTATACACTGTATACTTACAATAAAGTAAGCTAAAGAAAAGAAAATGTTAAGAAATCATAGCCCTGGTCTGTGTGGCTCAGTTGGTTAAGTGTCGGCCCATGCACTGTGGGCTCGATTCCCAGTAGGGGGAATGTAGGAGGCAGCCAAGTGATGTTTCTCTCCCCCCCCCCACCCCGTTCCTCCTCACTCTAAAATCTTATTGGCTGTTAGCTGTAACTCTTTATTTTGTATTTTAGTGTTTGCTTTAGGGTTTAATCATACATCTTTAATTTATCACTGTCTACCTTTTATCATACCATTTCACATATACAGGGACTGAGAACTACATCAAGGCGAACTGTCATCGTGTGAACATGTAGGGGCCACGATGAACAAAGCAACATGAGATTAAATCACACACAAGAGAAAACAATGCAATCAAGAGACACAATAATTATGAGATGTGTTAGGCTGCTGCCAGCATAATATAGCACACTATTTTAGAGCAAACTTCTATTTTATAAGTAGAAAAAGTACACTCTAAAATAATGATAAAAAGCATAGTATAGTAAATATATAAATCAGCAACATAGTCATTTATTATTATCATCAAGTGTTATGTACTGTACATACTTATATATATTATACTTGTAGGCAACTGGCAGTGCATTAGATTTGTTTACACCAGCGTCACCACCAACACATGAGGAATATGTTGCTCTATGACCTTACCATGGCTACAAAGACACTAGGCAATAGGAATTTTTCAACTCCTCTATAATCTTATGGGACCCGAAGTATACATGGACCATTGTTGGAAAAAAACATCATTATGTGATGCATGACTGTAGTATAAGAACCTCACAATGGTACACTAACATTTTCCCCATCTCTGTCTTTATTCTATTTTTATCTTAACTTTGCGAATACAAGTGTTATAAGCCTCACAATAGAATGTTATTACTTTTTATAATTTTGGGGCCGTGCCCTGGCCCGGTTGGCTCAGCAGTTAGAGCATCGGCCCGCGGTCCAGAGAGACCCAGGTTCAGTTCCCACTAGGGGCGCGTACCTTGGTTTCGGTTTGTCCCTGGCCCCACTTGGGGTTGTGCTGGAGGCAGCCACTGGATGTGTCCCTTTCACGTTGATGTCTCTCTCTCTCTCTCTCTCTCTCTCTCTCTCTCTCTCTCTCTTCCTCTCTCTCCGTCCCACTCTATCTGAACAAAAATGGAAAAATGTCCTCGGGTGAGGATAAAAAAAGATAGATAGATAGATAGATAGATAGATAGATAGATAGATAGATAGATAGATAGATAGATAGAAAGAAAGAGAAAGAAAGAAAGAAAGAAAGAAAGAAAGAAAGAAAGAAAGAAAGAAAGAAAGAAAGAAAGAAAGAAAGAAAGAAAGAAAGGAAGGAAGAAAGAAAGAAAATTTTGGAGCCATGCTTTTCAGATTTGGTAAGTGGACTAGAGCACTTCTCTCTGGGTAGAGTACTCTTGTCCTATGTAGTCTACCCATTGCCCCTGTCGATCATAAGGTTTTCCAGTCTCACTGGTGGAACAGGCACTATCGTCAGCCCTGTTCTGAGGGATGGACACTGTTCTGTGCATACGTGTGAGAAAACTACCTGAGGCCAGGAAAAGACCCGCCAGAATGGATTAGAGAGAACAAATATGACTAGCTCAGATAATGGTGTTCGGGGTGGGTGTTGCTGAACTTCTTGGAACTAAGGATACCAAAGACAAAAGGTATCCCTAGGATGAATATGGGGTGTCACTTGGTCACAACTGTGAGGTAGTCTTTAGTGGTTAATAGCACATGTCTAGCTGAAGACAGGCAGAAAAAGAATTTAGAATTCCACGGCCCTTCCTCACACCCTCTTAGAAGGGAATGCTGCCTCACCTCCCTACCTCACCTCCCTCACAACTGAGAAACACCATGATATACTGCACGCTTATGTTTTGAAGTAAGACCGAGTTCTTCCCAGGGCCTGATAGGAGCACAAATCAAGGGAAATTCCGGGCACAGAGCTGATGACCTAGTGAGGAGCAGAACCCTAAGTCATCTGATCTGCTTCAAATCCTGGCTATGACACCTAATAAATGTACGGTTTACCTCAGGTTTCTTCAAATCTCTGAGCATTTGTTTTCTCATCTCAAAAATAGAGATCATCGTCCTGGCCAGTTTGGCTCAGCGGTTGAGTGTCAGCCTGCGGACCAGAGAGTCCCGGGTTCGGTTCCTGCTAGGGGCACGTACCACCAAAAAAAAAATAGAGATCATAAAAAGACAAGTATCACGGGATCTCACTTATTTGTGGAATATAATGAACAAAATAGACCAAGAGATATAAAAGTAGGGTTCAGATTGACAAACTTCAGAGGAGGGGGTAGGGAGGAGGGAAGAGATAAACCAAAGGACTTATGCATATAAGCATAACCAATGGACATAGACAACAATGCTGAGGGGGAAGGGGGGAATGGGAAGAGGGTGTCAGTGGGGGGGGGGGGAGAAACATCTGTAACAAAAATAAATAAATTAAATTAAATTAAGAAATAGAGTTAATAAAATAGCACCCTCCTCATAGAGTGCTAGTATCAATTATGTTCATAACCTGGGTGTAGAAGAACTTCCATAGGTGGCATCCATCCTTTTTCTCTGAGCCTAGTCTGAGGCCAAACTCAAAGTTCAACCTATCCCCCACTTCACAGTGCATCAACAGCACTGCTGAAGGAGTCGCAGGAGGCAGGGAGTGTACTCACGGCGAGTACCACGGCACATAAACTCTGTGTGCTGCACTTGAGGGTGAAGGGCAGGGGCTCCAGAAACAGACGTTAAGTGTTTGGATTGAGGCTCTGTCACATTTTGGGGGGTGATAAATTAGTTTGCTAAGGATGCCATAACAAAGTACCACAGGCTTAAGCAACAGAAATTTATTTTTTCACAATTCTACAGGCCAGAAGTCTAAGATAAAGGTGTCTACAAGGTTGCTTTCTCTTGCGGCCTGTCTCCTTGGCTTGTAGATGGCTGTCTTCTCCCATGTCTTCATGTGGTCTTCTCTCTCTCTCTCTCTCTCTCTCTCTCTCTCTCTCTCTCTGTGTGTGTGTGTGTGTGTGTGTGTGTGTGTGTGTCCTAATCTACTGTTCCTATAAGGAAACCAGTCATGTTGGATTAAGACCCACCCATGTGACTTCATTTTAACTTAATTACCTATTTACAGACTTTTTCTCCAAATACAGTCACATTCTGAAGTGCCGGAGTTAGGACTTCAACATATGAATTGTGGGGGCAGGGGACACCATTCAGCCCATAAACGGTGATCCTGGGAAAGTTACCTAACCTTTCTGGGCACTCAGTGTCTTCCGTTCTAAAATGGGGGTAATGCTGCCCACCTCATGGGAGTGTTGGAAGGAATAAATGCAATAATCCACGCAGTGCCTGGCACATGGTGAGCACTCAAGTGACATCTATTGTTTGTAAGTTCTCCATTCAATAGCTCTGTTGTCTCCAGCCAGTTGCTTCATCTCCTCTTTCACTTCCGCCTCCAACAACACCCCTGAAGTGTACTGAGCAATTGTTTTTCACCAGCTAATAACTAATTTCTGTTCAGCTTGCCTCTTAGGTCTCCAAGTCTTTCCTGCCCAACTCAAGACCTTTCTTTCTCTATTGTAGAAGCCTCTGAGCAAAGTAATGGGAATGAATGGCAAGTGCTGCAACCCGAGGGTCCCATGTGGGTGGCAGAAGGTGAGACACTCCTACTGAGGTGCACAGTGATTGGCTCCTGCACTGATGCCATGATAAAATGGGTCAAGGTGAGCAAACAGGACCAGCAGGACATTTATAACTTCAAACATGGCTTCTTCCCTGGGGTGACACCTATGACCCAGCAGCCACTGGAGCCACTTAATTGTGACTATTCCATCTATATCCATAATGTCACCAGGGAGCAGGAAGGAACCTACCACTGTGTGAGGTTTGATGGCTTGAGTGAGCACTCAGAAATGCAACTGGATGAGGGCACCTCAGTGCTTGTGAAGGGTGAGTATCAGGCCCTACAGGTCATAACATCCTGCTGTAATCTATTTCTCTACATTGGTCACTGTTATCCACAATCAGGCTGTACACAGAAAACCTCAGTGGCACATAACAATTAGTATACCTCACTCACACATTTATAGGCAGCTGGGGTGGTTCTATTCCACATGTCTCATTCCAGGGCCCAAAATGACCAGAGTGCATTTTCTCACGGAGATGGCAGAAGAACAAGAAGGCAAGTCCCAACATTCCCACTATATTTCAAGCTTCTACTGGCATAATGTCTGCTAACAGCCCATTGGTTAAAGCAAGTCACATGACTCAGCTCAAATTCCATAGACAAGAGAAGTGCACCCTGCCATCATGAGGCCATAGCAGGAGTATGGATGCACCAGAGGAGAGTAAAAAACTGGGGCTGTGCATTTAATTTACCTCACTCCCCAAGGAATCAGTCATGTTATCTATAATTTCACCATTGATGATCTGTATACCCAAATTCTGGGTGAGTCATTCAATAGAAGTGTATTCTTAAATCAGTCACTTCAGCTTTATGTACTTCAAGTCTCTAACTTGAAAAATAGGCAACGTAATTCCGCCTTCAAGAATCATTCGGGTGTTGAAACAGAAGAACAGATGTCTGTTCTGTTACAGAAACCACTCTGTAAACTGCTGACATTGGAGAGTATCTGTGAGTGTGGTGAGTGTGGTGTATGTGGGGGGAAGGGGTTCATTTTAACTTGATGCAAACATTTCAGGAAGCTTCTCTAACTCCTTCCAAGCTGTGGCTGGTGCTTCTATTGGTCCTGCAGTCCTCTGGGTTTCCAAACTCAGGGAGATTTTCTGGACCATCTCTACCACCAGACTGAGATCTTCTTCAGGGCAGGACATTTGTGTGTCTTTCTGAGCTTCATTTTCCCCAGTCCTAGCATTAGCACAAAGCCTGTACTGGGAAATTCCTTATTGCCCTGGCCATTGTGGCTCAGTTGGTTGGAGCATGGTCCCATATACCAAAAGGTTGCAGGTTCCATTCCTGGTCAGGGCACATGCCCAAGTTTTGGGTTCGATCCCCAGTTATGGTGCATGCAGGAGGCAACCTATCAATGTTTCACTCTCACATTGATGTTTCTCTCTCTCTCTCCCTTCCTCTTTTTGACTACTGAGTAATAAGGGAACATAGGAGGGATTGGCTGAGTGAAGAAATCAGGGATGGGGAAGGGAGGGAAGATATGAGGGAGGAAATGAGTGGACAATAGAAGAAGACAAAGAATAAAACAAGGACCTCTCTTTGGCTTCAGGAGCTGGTGATCTAAAGCCAAACCTCTGGATCATCCAACCCCAGCAGTTGGTGTTGGCAACCACTGGAGACACTGTCTTCCTGAACTGCACAGTGTTTGGAGATGGTCCTCCTGGACCCATCAGGTGGTTTCGGGGAGCTGGTATGAGTCGGGAAGCCATTTACAACTTTGAAGGCATCTCCCAGCCCAATGTGACAGCGGTCCAGGCCTCCAACAGTGATTTCAGCATTCTTCTGAAAGATGTCTCTACTGAGTACACAGGCATCTACTACTGTGTAAAATTTCACAGGAAATTAAACAAGCAATACCTGTCTGGACAGGGCACCAGGCTGAGTGTGAAAGGTAAGACAGGTGGTCTAGGAGGCGCTAGGGGGACGGGAGGGGGGGTTATCCACAAGACACTTTTACCATGTCCCAAACAAGCCAGCTTTTCTCAGTTTCCATGCTTTTACATAAGCTTTTCCCTTGCCTGGAATGTTTTCTCATTTTCTATGTCAAACTCCTACTCATCCATCAGAGCCCAGCATAAATAGTCCTTCCTCTGTGAAGCTTTCTCCTTTTACTAGGCAAAGTTCATTTCTTCCCATTCTGAGTTTCTTAGAACTTTGTATAGTTAATGATTCAACAAACATTTAGTGCATGCCTGTTAACTGCTCTGCACTGTACTCGGTGTTATAGATACTGCAATAAATCAGACATTGTTTCTACTCTAGAGATGTTCAAATAGGTCTAACTAGTCCTTCATAGGTACTAGGCTTGACTTCTAGCCCCCATCCCAGGTAGAAACTGTCAGGCTCATTTTGGTGACCCGAGCTCCAAGTACAGGACTCAGAAAGTGGTGGGACAGAAAGAAAAGGGGAATTTGAGACCATCTCCCTCTCTTGCAGCAATGCCCTCTTCTCCTCAAGAGACAGAAGTCATCAATCAACATGTAGCCGGGAGATTTCTTTCAGGTGAGTGTTCCTCCCTCTAATGGAGTTAACCAGTACCCCACACACAAAGGGTGGGGGCAAAGATGGCTTAGTCATGGGAAGGGAATGGTCCCTTTTAGGGCCCATTTGCCACCAAGAAAGCTCCTAGGACTCTACCTCAACTGTAGAACCAGGAACCCAGAGAACCTTGTTAAAGTTCAATCAGAGAAATAGCTAGTGCTAACTATTTTGTGGGCAGTCTTGCTTGAGAGGTAGTGAGCTCCCCATGATTCCTTGTAACATTACACTATAAAACTGTGCAGAACAGTGCTGAAGCATGTGGCTCTGTAGCCAGGTTTCCTGAATGGAGCCCCTTTCCCTCTGTGAGAATGTGGGCAGATTGCCTCACTCCTTGAATCTCTGATGTCCTGCTCTGTGCACTGGGGTGGGGGAAAGAGGATCAGAGACTACCTCACAGTGCTGTGTGTGCATCCAATGAGTCATGTGCTGAGTGCCCAGAACTGTGTCTGTCACATCACCTGTTAGTACCCAGGGACACTCAGTGACTGGAGAAACTGGGAATAGAGGTTTCTAGGTTGCCCTCCCTGATGCTCAGCCCTGTTCCTGCCATTCTTGGGAGTTCATGACTTCTTTGAAACATGTGGCCCTGAGCAAATACTTCCCCACCCTGGGTCTGTCTTTTCTTACAAATTGCATTGCTATCCTACCTTGCAAGATTAGTTCAAAGATTATATTAGGCAGTTAGGAAGTGCTTAGCTCAGGGCCTGGGGCAGAGGAGTCAAGCAGCCAATAAATGAAAGCAGTTTTCTATCATAACAGGTCCTTGAATGACGTCGTTTCCATCATTTCATTATAACATTAATAAGATACCGTAGGAACTTCACTCTTGTTTATATCAATTAGCCTATGATAAAATTGGTTTCATTACACTTATGTTTTGCTTTAAGTCACAGAACTCATCAATGATGTTAAGTGAGGACTTACTGTATTGTCAGAGGTCAGGGATGCTATCAAGATGATTAAAGGTACAAGTAAGATATTGAGCAAAGCCTTTTCGGGCCTGGGACAAAGGGAAGGGAGGACTTGGATCTCCTCTTCCAGTATAGAAAGAGTGTGGCCCCAGAGGTTATGGGGCCGCTGAGCCCCACCTCGCCTACAGGGAGCCCTGATGTGTGGGCTGTTGAGGCTCACCTGGAGTCCTTCCTGAACTCTCTTTTGCGTCCCTCAGGCTTCCTGTCTGTGCTCACAATCGTGGTCCTGGGACTGAAGGCAGTGACCTTGGCTGCACTCCTGCTGGCCCTGGCTGCCTGCCGGAGAAGCACTGGGCAAGAAAACGTCAAAACCCCAGGCCCAGCATAGCTGTGCTCATCTTAGCATGGGCCATGGGGCATGGGTAAGGGATCAACTTTAGAGTAGTCCTCCGAGTCAGAGAGGGGTTAGGGGCCCCCAGTCATTTCCAGCCTTCAGATGTCCCCCAGGACTCAAGACAATTCCAGGATCCCTGCACCAGGGTTCGGTTCACTTGGTGAAATCCTCTCAGGCTCTGGGCTCCCCTCTTATGTGCCTTTCTCTCTCTCCTCAACCTGTTCGGGCCTCTTGGTCCTTCAAGGCCTTGTCCAGGTCTCTCCTCAAGGCTCCTGTTCCTGCTGCAGTCCCTCCTGAAGTGCCCTCCCCCTACCTTCCCCGCTCCACATTTCCACAACCTCCAAAATCTGACTCAGAGACTTCCCGGTAGGCATCCCTGAGCATTTCTGAGCTCACCCAGCCACGCTGCCTGTATTTCTCGTTCTCTCCTTTTTTTTTTTTTTTTTCGGTCCCCACTGTGACAAGCTTGGGTGGCTGTAACAGTTCGAATGTAGGTTTGGCAAGTTTAACCACAGTCATAAATAACAGTGGTTTAAACCAAAAAAAGTTGGTTTCTCTAGCAATATCTGAGCATAGGCAGACCAGGCAAAACAGCCACTCCCTGGTATGGAGATCCAGGATTCCTGGATCATGTTGCCATCGGGTCCACATCCCAGGCAGCAAGACCAGGAAAAGGCCATGAAGGGGAGCATGACTCTCTCCTTCAAGGATACAGCTAGGAATTTGCCCACATCACCTCTAATTGGCTGGAATGTGTCACATGACCACACCTAGCTGCAAGGGAGGCTTGGAAACATAGTCTTTATTCTGGCGACAATATCCCCAGGTGGAAATTTTCACTAGGGAAACAGGGTGTAAATACCAGTAGATACTGTAACCAGTACTTTCCACCTCAGTACCCTAATGACACAGGTGCAGCCTCTTCCTTGCTCTGCGTGACACCTGAGTTCAATTCCTAGCTGAAACAGCACCTCGTTGTCACCACCTGCGATAGGAAAGCATAATGGAAGGCAGTTATTCTCAAGAAAAGGAGATTTTGCCACCCAGGGGCATTTGGCAATATCTATAGACATTGTGGGTTGCCATGAGTTGGGGGTAGTTAGAAGTCAGGGATGCTGCTAAATATCCTATAATGCACAGGGCAGCCTCTACAACAAAGAGCTATCTGGCCCAAAGTATCAGCAGTTCCCAGGAGTCAAACACACCTCACTTCTAATCCTGAAGCCCCACTTCCTTCCTGTGTGACTTCAGTGATTACTCAGTCACTTCACCTCTTAGAACATGGAGAATAATAATCTGGACTTACCTGCATTGTATAAGAATCAATTTAGCCCAGCCGGTGTGGCTCAGTGGTTGAGTGTCAACCCATGCACCAAGAGGTCACTGGTTCGATTCCCAGTCAGGAAACATGCCCAGATTGTGGGTCAGATCCCCAGTGTGGGGCATGAAGGAGGCAGCCAATCGATGTTTCTATCTCTCTGTCTCTCCCCCTCTCCCTTCCTCTCTCTCTCTAAAATCAATAAAGAAAAAAAAAGAACCGATTTAATTCAGCATTTGCTGGGGACTTACTGTGTGCTGTGTGCACTGTGTATGCTAAGGACATGGGAACCCCCTTCTTGCTTTCCATACAAATATTTATTAGCCCCCACGAGGTAGGGAAGTGAATTCGTCTAGATGTTTTTCATCATAACAACAGAAAAACAGGTTGGACGAGTCCAAGACAATGGGGACATTAATTTAGTCTAAAAATCACTGAATTACCAGACATCCAGAAACACAGATATGGTGGGCTGAATAATGTCTTCACACACACACACACACACACACACACACACACACACACACACACACACCAAGCCCCCGCCCTGCAAAGATATCCACTTCCTAATTCCTGGAATCTGCGAATGCTACCTTACGTGGCAAAAAAGGACTTTGCAGATGTGATAGGGATCTTGAGGTGGGGAAGTTATCCTGGATTACCCAGGTAGGCCCTGAATGCAGTCGCAAGAGTCCTGATGAGGCAGAGTCAGAGGGAGATCTGACAAAAAGCAAAGGAAGCAACGTGACCTCACAGGCAGAGACAGCAGGCCCCAAGAATGCCGGCAGCCACCAGAGACTGGAAGAAATAAGGAACAAATTCCCCCACGCCTCCGGGGCGGGGGAAGCATGGCCCGCGGACACCTGCATCTTGGACTTTTGTCTCCAGATCTATGAGAGAATAAATTTCTGTTTTGTTTTTTGTTTGTTTTTCTAAATATGTTTTTATTGATTGTTTGTTTGTTTGTTTGTTTGTTTGTTTTTCGAGAGAGAGAGGAAGGGAAAGAAAGATAGAAACATCGATGAGAGAAAAACACTGATTGGCTGTCTCCTGCATGTCTCCTACTGGGGATAGAGCCTGCAGCCCGGCCATATGCCCTGACCTGGACAATGCTCCAAGGTCATTGGACAATCCACTGACCCACACCAGCTGTGCAGAATGTCTGTTGTTTTAAACCACCAGCTTTGCAAGAATTTGTTACAGCAGCATGGGAAACTAACAGCAGGGAAGCATGAAACTGGGCCTCCAGAAAACTGGACGTGGTTCCCTGCTCTGCCCTTGAAAACCTCCTCACCTTGAAGGGTCCTGCATGATCTGGTCCCTGTTGCTTCTCCCACCACCACCCATTAAAATGACTTCGATCTGGCAGCCACCTGGGTCTTGACCACACCATGTTCCCTAATTCCTCCAAGTCTCTGCTTAACTGTTCCCTTCAAGAAGCCTCCCAGACAATTATCTCTACCATGACATCTCCTTCACTCTCATTTCCTCCATGCAGTTTAAGTTTTCTTCGTAGCACTTGGGAAATAAATGTGTGTGTGTGTGTGTGTGTGTGTGTGTGTGTGTGTGTGTGTGTTTCCTTGATGATTGTTAATTGTCCCCACTAGACTGGAGCTCACTGAGGGTAAGAACCTAATTTTTCACTGTAAGTTCTTTCATTCAGTCATAAAAGTGGCTGAAGGCTGACAATGTGCCAGGCAGTAATCAGTGTGCTGAGAATAAAACGGGACAGTTAGCTCTCTCAGATTTTCCTTCCTAGTGGGGGAAGACAGACAAAGAGCAAACAAATATAGATAAGTTATATGTCTTATGGATAGATGAATAAAATGTCACATGGTAGTGAGGGTGAGGGAATAATAAGGCAGAGTTGTGGAGATAGCAGGTGCTAGAGATAGCCAGAGTTGAGGGTATTTTATTTAGGGTGGTAGAAGAGGCCTCAATGATAAAGTGCCATTTGCCTAAGACTCAAAGGGAGTGAGGGAGAGAATCTTGCAGATATGTGGGGTAAAAACTTAATAAGCACAAGGAACAGCAAGTGCAAAGGCCCTGAGACAAGAGCATGCTTAACATGGCATAGGATCTGCAAGCACCAAGTAGAATTGTTTGGCACCTGTAAACCCCTGTAAGAATCTGAGGGGTATGCAGGGTAGAAGTGAGGTTCACGCTCTTGGGAATCTGATGGTGCAGATTCAAATGCCAATTCTATTCATCTGTGGGGTAAATTTGTTTGTTTGTCCCAGTGTGTTTTGGTTTCCTTACATATAAATCAGTAATAACATCAGTACCTCCCTTCTGAAGTAGTTTTGAGGCTTAAATGCATTGGTGCCTGGCATGTGGAAAGCACTAAATAACTGCTATTAGGTGTTGACAGAACAAACGGGAGTCACCATCCCACAGGTGGCAGGGAGTGTGACAGTCCACAGTGCCTGCCCCTCATCTTGTGACTGCAGCCACCAGAGGGCCCTGACTCTTTATCAGATTCCGTTTTGAAAGCTTGGGAAAAACACTGATGTGACTTATAGGGACATTGCAAGGCAAGTGTGTCCCCAAAAGATGCAGAGAGAGCACTGGCAAATAAAACAAACATGGGTAATTCAGGGCCCTCGGTGGGCACTCAGGAAAAACCTGCTGTTGACAGATTGAAAAACTGGGGAATAACCTGAAATCAAAGTTCCTCAGTCCCGCTGCCCCCCTGCTTTGCAGCCTGGGGCCTTGCACAGCCCAGATTGGGGTGAGAGGCCGGGGCAGCAGCTCCCACCAGGGGCCAACAGCCACTCTTGCTCATCCTGCTTTGGCCTCAGGATCTGAACTGTGGGAGGTCAGTGACTGTACTCCAGGCCTGTGTGTATCTCTCCCTCTTCTTTTTCTTTTTTTTTAAATTTATTTATTTATTTATTTTATTAATTAATTTTTGTTACAGATGTTTCTCCTTCCCCCCCAATGATTCCTCCTCCCCCTCCCTCCCTGCCCTGTCCCCAGCTTTGCTGTCCATGTCCATTGTTCATGCACACATGCATATAAGTTCTGTGGTTTATCTCTCCCCCACCACTCCCTCTTCTGGGGATTGTCAGTCTGTACCCCACTTCCACGTCTCTGGCACTACCCCATTCCTCAGACTGTTATGTTCATTATATTCCACAAATAAGTGAGATCATATGATACTTGTCTTTCTCTGTTTGGCTTGTTTCACTTAGGATGATACTTTCCAGGTCCCTCCATGTAGTCTCAAAGGATAAGAGATCTTTCTTTCTTACAGCTGCATAGTACTCCATTGTGTATATGTACCACTGCCTTTTTATCCATTCGTCTACTGATGGACACTTGGGCTGTTTCCAGATCTTAGCTATTGTAAATAGTGGTGCTACAAACATGGGGGTACTTAAATTCTTTCTGATTGGTGTTTCAGGCTTCTTAGGGTATATTCCTAGAAGTGGGATCACTGGGTCAAATGGAAGTTCAATTTTTAATTTTTTGAGGTAGCACCATATTGTTTTCCATAGTGGCTGCACCAGTCTGCATTCCCATCAGCAGGGTACTAGAGTCCCTTTTTCTCCACACCCTCACCAACACTTGTTGTTTGATGATTTGTTGATGGCCGCCATTCTGACAGGTGTGAGGTGATACCTCATTGTTGTTTTAATTTGCATCTCTCTGATGATTAGTGATGTTGAGCATTTCTTCATATGTCTCTTAGCCATGTGTATGTTCTGTTTGGAGAGGTGTCTATTTAGTTCCTCTGCCCATTTTTTAATTGGCTTCTTTGTCTTTCTGTTGTGGAGTTGTATGAGCACTCTCTATATATTGGAAATTAACCCCTTATCTGATGTATCATTGGCAATGATGTTCTCCCATACAGTGGGTTTCTTTTCCCTTTTGATGGTTGTTTCTTTCGCTGTGCAGAAGCTTTTAAGTTTGATGTAGTCCCATGTGTTCATTTTCTCCTTTGTTTCTATTGCCTTAGGTGATGTATCAGTGAAAATTCTGCTGCGTATGATGTCTGAAATTTTGTTGCCTACAGTTTCTTCTGGGATTTTTATGGATTCATGAGTCACATTTAAGTCTTTTATCCATTTTGTCCCTCTTCTTTT